CTATATGCACCCTCCTATGCTAAGGATGGAAAATCTTTTTTCAAACAAATTTCACCTCAAGAGAGGACATGACAAAATGATTGGGGCTATGTAATTCCTACCCCAAACTGGAAATATAACACTTCTAAACATTAAACATTTAAAAAGTCAGGAAAAAGACACTTTCCACCCTATTTTTAATGGCAGACCACTTATTATTAAGAGAAGATGCAGCTATGAAGACAAGTAACAGTAGCTTTAAGCAAATAACAGAACAGTTAATTTCAGTTATGTTGACCAATATCTGAATATTGGTCCATATCTGAAGCAATCAATGAAATTCTGATCTATATCCATTTAAAATGTTTCCATTGCCCCAAATAAGGAACCGCATTAACACTGCTAAAGAGGATAGATTGAATAAATCCACTAACTCTCCCATCAACCTGGTGAATTAAAATGAACCTGGCATATTCTAATATCAGCTGATCCAGGCTTATTCATTCCTTCTCCTATAACATGACACTCTCTCTAATCTAGCATGAATCCCTTTGATGTTATACCTTGCAACATGCTTAGTTTGAAGCCCACAGAATGTCCTGTATCAGCTTCATTCAGTGGCTGCCAACTAGAAAACAGATGCTTTTCAGAACTGGGAGAGATTCCTTATGTGTGATGAGGATTAATTGTCAGTGTAATATATATTTTGAATGTGGTTTTTTTGCTTTGTTTTGTTTTGCTTTAAAGATAAACAGGGGCTTGGTGGGTAATGTGATCTAAATGAGGTAGGGAGCTAACATTTTGTCACTATAGTGATTCACTTACAGTCTACATATAGATGCAGCCCAGCAAGAACTCTTCTTTTTCCCATATGTAAGCATTTGTGAGAGGAGTTCTAAAAGAGCTAAGCAAATGTGTGCATTGTGGAGGTCAATCAACAATAAGATATGTCAATGAATTCTTCAAGTTTAGATATCTGAATTCCAGATTATCATGACTGTGGAGACACAGAGGCAAAAGATTGAACAAAACCTTCTATATTTGTGCCTAGCTTGTAAGATTTCAGAAACCTATGTTTGTCTTATGGTAGAAGCAGAATGCTGGGCTAGACTGGCCAGTATTCTGAGTAAACAAAACAGCTTATTCCTGATATAACATTTCTAGCGGCCTTCATGGGACAATTGTATACGTAATCGTACTGCTTGTTGTACCTATATTGTCCTCTGCTTTAATGGGCAAGCATAAGACCATTAGACTTAGAGTGCAAGTGAAGGATGTCCATGGGTTTACACTGATTCTGAAATGCCTTAATGGTCATCTAGGAAAATTTTGGGCAAACTACAAAAAGCCTAGCTTGACTACAGTACAGCAGGACAAGTACTGTGGAAGAATCAGAAATAATAGAGTCAGATAATAATCAATCGTCGGATTAATTTTAGTGCCGAGATGGTCTCCTGGGTATTAAGATAGCTAGAGCAAAAAGTGCTTAGTGATTTTGGGGCTACAGTATGTTCAAGGGGGAGGACAAAGAGATTAATATCTAGCAATCTTAAAGAATTCCCAAATTTATTTGCATGAAGGATTACTCCTGACAAAAGAGAGAGAGAGATCCCATAAGAAATAAACTTATTGTAATTCCTATAGAGAAACTGATGAAGATAATTTTTGTAATAAATGTGACCACAAAAGGATCTGAAGAAAAAAGCTACTCTTTACAACAGCATTGCAATGTGGAAGTAAAAAGTGAAAACTGATTTGTTTTTGGTTGTTCCTGTGTAATCCTGTCAGGTGGCAGCTATTAGGGTGGACATTCTACCCAGTATCTTAAGACATGATGGAGGCCTGTCAGACAAGCTATTCAGCAACGGAGTTGTTGAGTCATTATGTTTAAGCATAGTGGGCTATTAAAAACAGGCATTTCATAGTTCTTTCCCTAAACATCCTAGGAATGCAGCAGTGATGGACTGTCCTCAGGGCGTTGGAGAATTTCATTTAATCTTTTAAAATGAATTGACCCCATATGCATTTCCCAAGTCATAATTCTGTTCTACTATCCCTTGGATTCTGGACTTACATCTGTACTTCTTCTGGATTTTACAGTGCAATTCTGTGCTCAAAACTTGTACAGAAAATGTGCACGTCAGAGAAAATTGCATCCAGTAAGGGGAAAATGTACAAAATATATAGAATGTATGGCTTGGCACCAAAATCCTGTCTTCTCTAATCAGTTTTGGCCTCCTGATCCATATGTCATGGGGAAAACTGCTAGTGGATCCCCATTTTCATGAGGTGATAGCAACTGTCTTGCAGGTGCTGTTTTTTTGGTCCGCCCCCCCCCCCCGAATTGGAGCACCTGCATTGCGAAGAGCCTCTCCCTGGAGGTTTGACCAGCCCCCGCATTGCTGGCTTTCCATAAATTAGTGAAAACAGAATTATTTCAGACAGCCTTGGGAGGTTGAAGTGATGCTATCAGTTGTTGACTTGTGTTTGTGGTAGGAGTTGCTTTATTTTTAGCTACTGATTTAATTGCAGCAAGGTTATTTTATAGTATTGTCCTTTTTATGATTTCATTGTGAACAGCAAAGAGTCTTTTTGATTGTGGCAGATACAAATCCAATAAAAAAATAAAATGCATAAGGTAAGGGTTGCTGCATACATAAATGAGGGTTGGGTGTTTGTTTGTTTGCCTGGCACATTACTTAATAGAGGGGAATGTGTGACCCCATTTCTGAAAAGTATAATATGTGGAATATAAACATGTATCATCAGTCTTCTTACTTTCTTCCTCTTAGCAATTATAGCAAGTATGTGCTAGTTTTCACTTATACATAACTGCAGTGTAAATTCAGAAAGGAACGACATGACTGAATATGGGAACATTTAATCATTCCAGCTGTTTCTCTCTGTAATCAAAACAGTGCTATTGATTCTCCAAAGGGAGATGTCAGTATGCTTGGAAAAATTAAAGGCATTAAAATTGGTGGGAAGAATAACAGAATGGAGTATCATAGGTATGTCTTATTAACTAGAACACTGGAAGATTTCTATGCAGCACCCATTCATTCCAGCAGGTCTTACTCCTCCTGATGAAATGTATAAGTATGTATACAAAAATTAACAGGGTTTTCTGGGGGTAGAGGACAATTAGAAATCTGTATCTGTTCTCCTGGCCACCAAGCTTGCTGAAACTGGTGGCAGAACTCAGAACTCTGCTGAAACTCAAATTAGATCCTGCAAGTCTGAATTATTCAAGTCTGATATAAAAAGAAAAACAGTATCAGAATCTATGTTGCACTGAACTGGATTTCTGGTTGATCTAATGTCCCTACCGATGACATTGTCCACAGAGATCTTTCCCGGCTAATTAGTTATGCTGGGGATTTAGGCCGAAGCTTTTTAAATCTGCATCTTCCCTGAGCCCTTTTTAAGTTACTGTTATACTTTGATGGCCTGTAATCTCTCAGGCTTTGAAATTTTATAGGGAAGTAGTAAAGACACTTAACCTAATAAAGTATAAACATTTTATATGTTGTGTAATTACGTGAAGCGAAAGAAATGTATTCATTGTGATGTAGCCAATTTTCCTTTGTTCATACTTGCAGCTGCTAAAATTATCACTAAAGCAATGCCTCCTTGGGATATTTTTACACACACGTGTGTGACAATCAAACCAAAAATAAAATAAGATCAAGATCAAACAATTTTCCCTTTAAACAAAAATATCCATATTTCTCCACCAGAACTACATGCACAAAGACTTCTCAGTGCATATTTACTTTTCATTTTACCATGACAAGTATTTACTTACCAGAAATTTCTTTTGTTTTAAAGTGACATTTATAATTCCAAATCTTTAGAATTTTATCTTTAGAATGATAGTCAGATGCATGCCAAGGTTATAGTAAGTCTATTTCAGACAAAATGCAAATATTTCTCAAATGCAGATATATCTGCTCTTATACATATCTGCTCATTTTATTTAGAATGCCAGGAAAAGTTTAATTCACAAACAAGTAAGAAGAGATGATATGCCTTTACTTCATTCCTTAAATTTGTATTTACTGAATTCTTCCATCAAAAGGACTACGAGGAAAAAATTATATATTCTGTCTTGTTTGCTTCATATTCACCGAGACACATGATTAAACAAATAAGTCAGAAAACAAAATTATTTATATTAATTCCAAATTGATAAACTTTGCTTTATAAAAGAAGAAAAAGAAATCAAACTGGTTTTGAAATTTATAAAAACTTGCCCCCTTCCTTACTGAAATGCTTTCCCTCTGTAATTGCAATATGGCCACCCCACATTTCATCCTTATTACAGAATTACTGTGAAAGACAGAAGAAATAAAAGCCTGAAATTGTAAATATAGTTGGAAAATTGGGTTCCTTTCATTTTCTGAGTGGATCTTGCCACATAAGACTTTAGTCTCCAAAACATTGCTAACTCTTGCCTTAAAGCAAACACTATTTCATAATTTCTTTTTCCAACCAAATTAACACATTTGCCAATAAGGTTAGGTATGCTATTCTTTTAACAACCCAATTTATGGAGATGTGATCTTTCTGTTTGAACACCTCCATTTTTATAATGTTTATTATGAAAATGCATTACAGGGAAGTAATATTGGTGTTCAGATCTTGCTTAGAAATGGCTGCAGATTGTGTGTGCAGTGGGGAGGACGTTGGAATAATACAGGTTATTTTTTTCAAAAATGTAGTATCTGAAAACCAAGAATATATATTATTTAATCACATTGTAACAATTTGAGCCTACATTTCAGTCTAGACTAATTTCTATAATCCCTTTTAAGAACCAGACATGTTTTCCCTATATTCTTTGAGATGTTCAGAGGAGAATTAGAATGATTTCATAAAATGAACTACCTACGGCATTGCTTGTTAATTATGTAGTGGTATGCTTAAAAGCCTACAGCACATTTGGCCATAAATACTATTTATAAATATTTGTTGATTTGTCTGTTTGATTGCTAGTGTCTGCCAGTCTTCTCACAATCATGGAACAGCAAAAAAATATTAGTTTGGAAGAAGAATTTGAAACCCCAGAAGCTATGCATACAGGTAATAAAACCAAAATACTTTTGATAAGAATGGGAAAACCTGTTTTATGGACTCCTTGCTTAATACTGAATTGTATGTTGTAAAATAGAGTAGGCATGTAGAATTAATTTATTGCCTCTCTTGAAAACTATATAATTCTGGGAAAGGTGGAAGGAAAGGAAAAAAGAGAATGACTAAGAGCAAAGTGAACAGACTCAATGACTGTCTCTGTAATATCTGAAGAACCAGGTTGGCGAAGATCATCCCAGAGAAAAATCTATCTTCTTGGCCTTTTGGTTAAGATCAAGTAGTAGTAGTGTCTGTATGATCACTAAGAGTCAACGCTAACTTGATCGTACATAATCAATTTATTGCCACAGAAAATTTGTAAAAATGTTGGGAGGGGTCACTTTAAGTATGGATCAAGTCAATTTACAGAGAGTAGCCTAGTATTCTAATATGGGAACATTGGAGACATAATAACAGGAAGCTCTGGAGAGAACTCCACTAATGGTAGACATCCCACAATGGACATTTATGGACTTTGGAAAGCTTTCTACAGTGTTTCCTCTCTCCATATTCTGTTTGTAAAGGAAATAATTGGCCCAAACCTCACCTCAGGAAATGAAAGGACCTAACTCTCCACCAGTGGGGTTCCAGTTTGTATAAGGTCCATAATTAATTATGGATTTTATATATTGTACCCAAATGCCTCCTGATACAGCTTTTTAGAGTAAATTGGTGTTTATATATTTGGAAAAGCTTTTGCTGATATTTCTTCTGATAATAAGGCAACATTTTTCAGCCTATATTGGGAGATATCCACCTATGCAGCTGTTTTTCTATTTCCCTCACTAACTTTCTTTAAATCTCTGTTGAAGCAAAAAAAAAAAAAAAAGTAATAATTTAAAAAAAGGAAAGTAAACCCAAGAACAGGAAGTGAAAGAATTTTCTTATTCTAGGACCTAAAGGGGTAATCAATGACTGGAGAAAATTTAAGTTGGAAAGCGAAGACCAAGATAATCTTCCTTCAAGCAAGAAAGAGATCCTCATCAGGCAAATCTCTTCACCCCACTGCTCTCATGGTAGAGATGACAAAGACACCAGAGAACGAGCCAGTCGCAAGGTGAGTGAGGGAAAGAAGAAGACATAATGGAAAAGATGCAGTGGAAAAGGGTTCAGACAGCTTTTCCACATATTGAAGGAATATGGGGTAGGCTTATGGGACTAGTCTCATTCAGTTGCTAGTGCACATAATGACTACATTTTCACCATAAATATAGTTAACATGCATGACAATGAATATGCCATCATACATGATTAGAAATCAGAACTCTTCCAGGCAAGAGAAGATCGGTCCTATTTTACAAATAATTGGTGTGTGTATAAAGCCATGTCACATATTCCAAACTCCTAGAGCGTATGGGGGGAGAAGCCCGTGTGGCCTCAGAATCTCCTTCTTTCCCATATTCCTTGAACATGTAAGTGGGATCATTTCAACACCTAGAATAGATTTGGGGATCTTTTAGTACTCTAAATATTGTAAACAACTCCTAGATACAGCCTAGATGAAGAAGGATGGCAGCACAAAAACTGGAAGGCAACAGGTTCCTTACCTGTCATAGAACCATATAGGAAGTGGTTCCTCTGGAAAGGAACTTTCCCTGATATTTTACTACTTTTGCATTGTTAGAGACACAAAGAGCAAGGGAAAACTATTCTGATCTTTCTAATTTTACCATGTCCTACCAAATTGTGAAAAAAATTAATGGGAACCCAGTTCCAAGTCAGCTAGCACAAACTAAGTTGAAATTTCTTGACAGGACATAACTAGAATAGAATCTTCATTGTTTCAGGATTAGACATGACATATTATAACATCCCTGTACCAAGCGTATTTGTTTGCTTGATCCAGTTTCTTAATTGAGGTGCTTACATTGAAGTCAACTCACTCCCTTTTTGGGAAAATATATAGTAGAAATTATCCACCTGATAGTGCTGTTAACATTGGATGGAAAGCTTATATCAGGGCCAATGCCCTACTGATGGATGCCCATTGGAATAAATGCATTTACCATAGAAGCTCTTGAACTTTCAGTACTGTTCTTTGAGTATAACACTTTCTATTTATGTTCCATGAGGCTGCATGAAATCTCTCGTTTTGTGCTTAGCAATTAAATCAGCACCTGTAATTCAACTTACTCTTCCGATTATTTGCAGATGAGTATGCAGGAATATGAGTTTTTGAACGACAAAGAAGATGAGAGCTGTTTACAGCAATATCGGAAGCGTTGCATGAAAAACATGCACCAGCGACTGAGTTTTGGGCCAAAGTACGGCTACCTTTCTGAGTTGCAGGATGGGAAGCAGTTCCTGGAAGCTGTTGAGAAGGAACACAAAACCACCACAGTAATTGTCCACATCTATGAAGATGACATCAAGGACTGTGAGGCGCTCAACAGCACCCTCACTAGTCTTGCTGCCGAGTACTCTACTGTGAAATTTTGCAAAATCAAGGCTTCTAACACAGGGGCAGGAGACCGTTTCTCCAGTGATGTTCTTCCAACACTACTTGTCTACAAAGGTGGAGAGCTTGTAAGCAATTTCATTAGTGTAACTGACCAATTCAATGGAGAGTTTTTTGCTATAGATGTGGAGACTTTCTTGAATGAGTATGGGTTACTCCCTGAGAAAGGAATTCCAGCTCTTGAGAATGGTGACATGGATGAGCAAGAAATTGAACAGTAGACATGCTATCTAGTATTTCATCATCCATGCTCAGTAAATATTGCAGTTTGGATCTCACTTGGGGCCAAGTTTACTTAGCAAATTCTGCTTATAAGAAAGGCTTATAAGAAAGTATAGAGAGAGATAAAATAAATAAGAGATGCCCAGGACTTAGCTTGATGACCCTAGTTTCATCTTTGGTTTTTCCTCTTCTTTTCACTTTTACAAGACATTAGAGAACTAACAAATTAGGACTGGTGAAAGCTCCTTACCAAGGGACTCCAGTGTTAGAAGATGTACTGTAGATCACCCAACTAACTATACCTCTGCAACATGGAAGGTTTTCAGAGACCAGTGCAGATAGGCTGATACTTATGTCATTAATTTTGGGAGGGTAGGAGTAGGAAGTGAGATTGTTTTAATACCCATTTATAAGGAATTTGGCTAAGGCACAGCACATGTAGAAACTGCACAGGTCCTTAAGATACAAGATACATTTGGATGGAGCTACTAACATTACAGAACTTTCAGCAAATACTCAGAAGGAAAGTTTGATTACATTAGTGTTTTAGAGATGCAAGAGAGATGCAAAGCATTTGCTCCATTAAGGGTAAGGACAAGTTGCCTTTTGAGCACTGAATATTCAGGGCAACTCTAGAATCTGGTGCAGACCGACTTTGGATCAGGATTTGGTCTATCAACAGCTATCTGTTTCTGAATTTCCTTGGTTTACCTCTACTGATGTAAGAAGCCCTTTTTGAGAACACATGATGAACCCAATAACAACATAAATTGGAAATACTACAAACTCAAAGCATCTTACAACTTAACTGTTCTAATTTGATTAGTTAGAAACAGTTATCTCAATGATCAGATATCTAAGCAGCTAAATGATGTTGTCAAGGTATTGTCCCAGTGGCTGGAAGAGTTGGCGTCTGGATAGGGAGGAATAGGCTCAAGCCTAACCCCTTGCAAGTCTGAGTGGCTGTGGATATTTTGATCTCCTCCTCCCCCCAGATTAGGGCTCTTCCATTTTTAGCCTTAAATGGAGTTGCACCATTCAGGACTGGTATACAATTTGGCGGGTCCTCCTGGGTTTACAGCTCCTGCTCAAGGAACAGGTGGCAGCTATGGCCAGGAGGGCCTTTGCATAGATTCACCTTATGCACCAATTGCCCCCATTCCTGGACCAGGAAGCCCTCCTCACAGTCATTAATGCTTTGGTCACCTTGCATGAGGACTACTGCAATGGGCTGTCACTGAAGACCCAGAAACTGCAGCCGGTCCAGAATGCAGCAGCAGGAGTGGTTATGAGCATGCCACATTATGCCTACTACGTAACTCTGCTGCTTTGTGAGCTGCAAAGATTGCTGGTAAGCACTGGGGTGCAATGCAAGGTACTGGTTATCACCTATAAAGTCCTTTACAAGATAGGGCCTGGTTACTTGAAGGACTGTTTATCTCTGGTGGTGTCTGCCCATTCCATATGATCAGGCAGAATCAACATGGTTTGGGTCCCATTGGTAAAACAGCACCACCTGATGGGACCCAGGAAGCAGGCCTTCTCTGTTGTGGTGCTTGCCCTCTGATACAGCATCCACCCGAAATTTGAACAGCCCCTGTCCCGACTTTGTTTAAGCGAACCTGGCTCTTCCCCTGGCCCTAGATTAGGGAGTCTGACAAGCCCCTTTTGGGATTATGGGATGTTGAAGACCATGTTTTTTATTGTTCTTTCTGGACAGCTATCTTAGTTTGTTATAATGCTTTTTTCCTATTGTTTTTGATACTGTACACCACTCGGAGTTGCAATTGGACAGCTTTAGAAATTTGACAAAGAAGCAAGCAAATAAATAAAACTTTCTGATTAGTACCTATCAGAACATTTTGATTAGAAAATACTAGCCAGAAGGGGGAGATGAAAAACATTATATTTAGCTTCTGCTGTTTGGAAAGAATCATATGGTGTTAGCTGCTAATCAAGTACGTTATCTCTCCAAACCTGTACAGAAATTAAAGACCATATTTTTAACTCACTTTTAATTGTGGGCAATTAGAAAACTTAGGTTAGTGCTGGAAAAGGTGTAAAGAAAATGTATAGATGCATTAAAACACACTTCTTTATTAAATATTGTGTGATGTCACATGGTAAATTAAAACAATGTGTTTGTAAAGCAATTGTTAATGCCTAAACATTTCTATTCTGTGCTGATGTAATTAAAAGCTAGTTAAAACATACCTTTTAAATGGGCCTACTCTCTTTTTTTAATATGCACACACAGACAATATAAAAATAATTAAAAGCAAGCAAACACTGCTTTTTCCATGTATTGAAGCAGCTGTAAAGGGACAACACAGTCAGAGGAAATGGAAGGAAGATGAGATAATGGAGCTGAGGCTAGTGGTCCTCCCCTAGACATGATCAGTACATAGTGTGGGAGAAACATTCAGAAAAGACTGGTTTCTGCTTTTCTCTGGGAGAAGAGTGGCTGTTAGAAACTGTTCCTGGAAAGAAAGTGGGGGGGGGGTAGGGGGGGAACCTCTCCAGCAGAGCCAATGGAATCCCTTCTTCTGGCTTTCTCTTCAGCACCATTACAGTCTTTCATCTAGCATGGACCCCAGAAGATTTCACTTACTAAAAATGAAGCAAACAGGTATATCAAATGACTTCCTTACACAAAGTGTGTAATTTCTAATTGCATGGAAAATAAAGGACAAGAGGATATGCAATCATTAAAGAGAGATGGGGAGAAAAATACATTGATGTTAAATCAGTGAGATTTTAGCTATGCCAAATTTATTTCAGGACTTGCCTGGTTCTTTGGATTCTTATTGCAAATCTGCATCTATGGCAGAGAACTGAAATGACATTTATTCTCTAAGTAATGTTCCAGGAGGGTGACTTTCTAAAACGAGGAGACTCTGGAGCATGGGTTGTTTTATTTAATGCACTACACAAAGTGTATAGTGTGTATTTTTGACACTCTTCTCCCTATCCTGCCTCCAGGATGCATTCCATCTCTTAAGCCCTTAAAGCAATAGATGTTAGAAAGTGGGGCTCAACTAGTGTTTGCCACAAACTCGAACACCATCACACTGTTTTTATTAACTTTTGAAAAGAGAGGGAGGAAAAGACAAAGAAGGGAACCAGGAATATCCATAAGCACAGCTTTGTCTCAGGCCAAAGTCAAATGTGTTATCGCTTACTTAGGAATGAGTCGTATTTGAGGGTTGGATTTAAAGGGAGGTCTGAAATCTGAAGAGGTTGAAGATAACTGTGTTAGATCATCTTCTCCATCTCTCTGCTCGTTAAATACTGCAATTCAACAGGAGGGCATGGAGTGAGGAAGGTTACACTAGGCTATACATAATGTGTTCTTATTAAAATGAAGCCAGGGAAATACAGAGATTCAAATCCTCCTTTGAGAATAATTGATCTTGAGCAGGTCACATGTCTCAGCTGAACCTACTTGACACAACTGCTTCAAGAATAAAACAGAGGTTAAAACAAAGAACCACATGAGTTCTGCACAGCATAATAGCTCATTGAGATAATTTAGTCCTCAAGAGCAGGGCAGACATCATATTTCTGGGACTCATTTTGACAAGACTCTTTACCCACCTGGATCATGAAATAGTTACCTGCTGTGTCCCACAAGCCATGCCTCAGGATGACCTGCATGTAAATGCATCTCTAGAAATGTCTATTGTTTAAACAACTGAAGTTAGACTCCTGATGATCCCTGCAAATCATTACATCTTTTTAAAAAAAAGCATAAGAAAAAAAAATTACAGAACACAAAAAGTGAGTGGGGTCTTTCTAACAGAAATGGAAGAAGGAGCAAACATTTCATTTTTCTCTTCAGTAAGCAGGCAAGAGTTGGGGGAGCTATAGCAACTCCTGCCTCAAGCTGGCATTCACGTCTATCAAGGCTGCCTTTCTTTCTCCTTTTCAGATGGATTGGAACTACAAGCCCCATCATCTCCAATTCAAGTGGCTGAATTGGTTGGCATTGGGGGGTGGTCCAGCACTGACAGTGATCAGAGTCCTGGAAATGAAGTCCTAATAGGAATGATTCTGGGAAATAAATATGTTTAGCCTTGAGAAGCAAAGGCTGAGAGGAGGGTTTAATAGCTGCCTTCCGACATTCCCACAAGAAAAGTTTCCGGGAGAGAAAGAGCTTTCTTTGGAGGAGAAACATGGATGGAGACCACAGCCCTGGGTTTGGCCAGGCCATATTTACAAAGTCCTACATCTCACATTTAATCTAATGTAGCTAAGCCTAAGAAAAGATTTGTTCTTTGGAAGTCACGGATGAATGATAATAATGTATCTGCTGTCGTTGTGAGACAACCCAGGCTGAATGGTCTTCATGTAACCACTGGTAAGAATTGGTCTGTGTGGGTTGCAGGACTGTGGGGGGATGATGAGAGATGTAGTGGTTTTATTGGTTTATATTCATTGTTTTCCTTACTTATCTTACACTTTTTAATTCCCTTATACTTTGTATTTGCATTTTATTTCTCTTCTACAGCTTCTCTTTTTATTTATATTGCATTCATTATTTATATTACAGTTTTATCTTGTAATTATATTACAATGTATAATTCTTTGTATTTATGTTATTACACTTAGTTTACTCAAATTATACATATTATTTAAATAGTTTAAATAATTATTTATATTATCAGCTTATTTATATTTATTTATAATGTTTGTTACTTAGTGATTTTTTTAAAAAGTTAATGTGAAAGGTAATTAATATTTTTCTTATATTTATTTCAGAGATACAGTTGTGATTCTGAAACTTCACACAAAGATCTGAATCTTCCATTCATAGGGCACCTTCCCCTTTGATGAGTTCTACCCAACTCTGCTTGCGCAGTAATGAGGGCTTTAATTTCTTTTTTAGTGAGGTTTGGTGAGCTATGGTTTGCTCAAGTTTATCTTGAAAAGTCAAGTCTGCAAGGACTTGTAGAAGGGTTTAAAATAAGGCTCGTGTTTTATAATAAATTGTCGACAG